TATATATATATATATATATATATATATATATATATATATATATATATACATTGTTGTTTAACTATCAATTCTTTTTTTGTTGCAGATGTGTCTATTATTAACAATTTTGGTGGATTTGTTCGTAAAATATCTTACAACACAAGTCATAATGACTATTTCACTTATAATATTATTCTTAAGTACGATGAAATAAAAACCTCAAAACTTAATCAGGAAAGAAAAGTATGATTGTTTTAAGATATGTTTGTTTAGTATTTATTACGTTAAATGCATGTTTTAAATTTGTAATTATTGTTTATTTACATTCTTTAGGTGTTTGTATATATGTATATATATACATATATATAAATATATATATATATACACATATTTATATATATATATATATATATATATATATATATATATATATATATATATATATATATATATATATATATATATATATATATATATATATATATATATATATATATATATATATATATATATATATATATATATATATGTAAAAACGCACATCTAAAGTTTGTAAATAAAAAATAGTTTTGATTTTAATTAACATTTTGACGCACATAGTAACTAATCTAACTCTACATTCAAAATATGTATAAAAAACTCAAACTTTCTTGTTTGGTGCATGCAAACATTTCTTATTATATATAGAAAAAGTTCTTCGTCACTAATGGGTTTTAAATTTCAGGTTAAAATTTTTAATATTAGGTTTAATTTCAATTTTTAAAATTTATTATTTTTTAATTAACATATCTTTTATTTTAGGAGGATTTAAAATGCGATACATATTTAAAGGTAAGTTAATTATGTGTGTATATATATATATATATATATATATATATATATATATATATATATATATATATATATATATATATATATATATATATATATATATATATATATATATATGTATATATATATATATATATATATATATATATATATATATATATATATATATATATATATATATATATATATATATATATATATATATATATATGTTTATACAAACCTATATAATAAAGCAAATATATACATTTCATTATATTTCTTTTCTGCTTATATGATATTCATGTGTATATTTAGTTACAGGTATATATGATATACATGCTGATAAAGGACAAATCAGTTAATCTTTCTCTGAGACATTTCCAAGCCAGTTTAAAGATCATTTTCAAAATGTTTGCATGCAATAATAAATATTTTAACTTCTCGTTGTTCATCAACAGTCAAGCCAACCTACCTTTTTACGCCCATTTTTATCAGTGATAAGGTTCTCTACCAACTCAGAAAACTAAAAACAGGATTATCAGGACCTTATGATCTTCCCAATTTCACTTAAATCTGTTAGCTTAAAAGTTAACCTATCACTTTATATACTATTTAAGCGCCTCATAAAAAACAGTTACTTTCCTGTCTATGGAAATCAGCGAACGTAACACCAATTCACAAAGCATCTATTCAGCTATATTCGAATGACTATCTTCGAATTGCTATTACGTCGGCGTTATCAAAGTTTTTGAACCTTTTATCACCAAGTTTATTGTTCATGTTACTAAGTACATCAAGGTCTTAAACAGTTTAGTTTACTTTCAGGCCGTAATAAAATGGATGCTATCATTCATGTTAGAGGATGCGAGTGATGATAAAGATAATAATTAGTCGATTCTTGCAATCATCTTTGCTTTTTCAAAAGCATTAGATCTTGCTGAGCAAGTCAAGTTTCCAATAAAGTTTATGAATATTCTACCTAAGTGACTCTTATCTTTGATTGCAGCTTACTTATCTAATAGTTGCCAAAAAGTAAAAAGAAGTGATCACACCACTGATTGGAAATATATACAAGCCCCAGTATTTCAGAATAATTTTCTCGGTCCAATCTTGTTCATTCTCTTTATTTTTTATATAAACACCTAACTCCTACCTAAAACCATTCTGGAAAGCTAATCTGACGACATCCTGATCTGCATTATTTACAACAAATTTCCAAAAAATCATCCAATAACCATTAAATTTCCTCTCACCAAGAGCCTACAGATTGCCATTCGCTCTAAATACCACAATCACTACTACTTATCAGCAATCTATTATTCAAATATACCTACGCATTCATTGTAATGATGCCTGTGACCTCTACCTTTTGAATGATTGAAAATGCAGCTCTGCTTCTTTTTTATCACATAAATATTCAGTTCTTTTTCCTGCGTTCTTAGCTAACTTTCACTCTTTATTTAGCAACAGAAAATTTTTACAATATATATATATATATATATATATATATATATATATATATATATATATATATATATATATATATATATATAAATATATATATATATATATATATATATATATATATATATATATATATATATATATATATATATACATATATATATATATATATATATATATATAAATATATTTATATATATATATATATACATATATATATATATATATATATATATATATATATATATATATATATATATATATTTATATATATATATATATATATATATATATATATATATATATATATATATATATACATATATATATATATATATATATATATATATTTATATATATATATATATATATATATATATATATATATATATATATATATATATATATATATATATATATATATATATATATATATATATATATATATATATATATATATATATATATATATATATATATATATATATATATATATATGTATATATAGACCTAGTTGCCGATAGCCTTAAACTTCTTTATATTAGGTCTGACACAATGATTCAAATTGCCATCTTTTTTTAAGATCTATTTACCAGTTTTATTATACTATAAATGTGGCAGGACAACGTTCTTTATTGTGTGTAAAAAATGTCTTTGGTCAATAATAAATTTTATGTGATAAATAGGACACTTATAGCTACATCTAAAACACAAACCTACCTAATCCTTTCCTTCCCCATATTTAACGGTAGATAACTAATACTTTAGATTGAGTATGTTTCCAACCGGATATCTTACATACCATATTCCGTCGCTGCAAAATAGCATAAAATTTGATTTAACAGAGAAATAGAATTTTGACCAATTTTAAACTAACATGATTAAATGCAAGTTATTTTTTTTTTTTATTATTACGTGCAAATAACAATTTTTTTTTCATTATTTTTATTTTTATAATTATATTTCTTTCAAATATTACTTTTTGATTTTCTTGCAAATATTAGCAGTTAAAATTCTTGCAGATATCAGTAGTTTCTTAACTGGATATCAGCCATTCAGATTGATTTGTCATACTTAAAGTTTTGTTGTAGCGATGCTACAGTTTGTGCCATGAAACTTCGACATATTGGTATAAAATCAACAGCAATTCAAATAATTCTTTACAAATATAATACAAAATATAATTAATAAATAAAAATAAAATAATAAATAAAAATATAATATAATACAAATAATTCTTTAAATAATAAATAAAAATATAATATAATACAAATAATTCTTTAAAAACTGCGATTTTCAATCGCAGTTTTTAAAGAATTATTTTTAAATACCTTACTAAAAATCTTTTAGCTTTTCAGCTGTAACTTTTAGAGCAAGCGTGCTTTTAATAGCTTTGTTTTATAAAAAATTTTCATAATATGACTTATTTATGGTTTAAAAACATTATAAAGTTCAGAAAACTTTCTTTGAGTTATTTTTTTTCTCCAATGTTTTTTTATTAGTTAGTTTATTTCATTTAAAACCCTTTTAAACATTTCCATCATTTTAGAATGTTAATAAGTAATAACTTTATAAAATTTTGATAATATATGGCATATTTATAATTTTATATATAAATCATATTTACTAACTTAAGATCAGACCCGTAAAAGTATGGGTCTTTGTAAATTTATTCCTTACCGATTTACATATCCATTCTTCACCGAGTTATTTATACTTATTACTTGTTTACTTCAATATTTTGTAGTAAAATAATTTAATCTGAAAAAAAAATTTACGACAAAAAACCTTAACATGCGCAAAAGTTCCGCATACGTAGAGCTTATAAGAGACTTTTAATTAGGTTTTTTTTCAAACAATTATTGTAAGCGCTTTTTTTTTTTTTTGTCTCAATTAAATGGTGATGAGATAGTTTTAATAAACGTTCAAATATTGAATTTAACAAGAGTATTAAATAAATTTATTTTAAGAGCTATTTCCGCCAAAATGTAACGGTTTGATATATGAAACCATTTATTTTCAACCTATTATTTCATATTTAATTTTTTACAAGTCGTTATAATGAGTTGTAGAAAAGTAAATAAGGAATACTGGTTTGAAAATAAATGATAAGAATATATCAAATAATTTAGATGGAATATAGTTTTAAGTAGGAAAAATTTGTCCTAATAAGGGTTTGAAGTTAATCAATGTTTTAATTTCAAATTTTATTAAATTATATTAAAAGGACATGTTTATAATTTTAGTTATATTCCACAGGCAATGTTAATAATACAACAAAAACTTAACACTCATATTCAATGTTTCAAAAAAAGCCTCCGGAGCTCTCTTTAAATGGTCTCTTAAAAAATGATTAACAGTTTTTATGGTGATCTTTCCGTTCTCAGAGTACCTACAAAGAAAAAAAAAAAAAAAACTATGTTTATAATTAGATTATCATCTATTTGACGTTGTTATAAATACCTTAAAAAGTATTTTCACTACTAAAGAAACCCACTTAAGAAATTTATTAAATTTAGGTACAAATGAAGATATTTGTTTTTAAATTTGAACTATTAAAATTAATAAAATTTTGAAATCGAATCAAAGTAATTATAATATACTTATAAATTCCAAAAGAATATTACATGCGCATTATCTTTATGCTTTAAAAGTAACATTTACCTGAATAAAAAAAACAAAGTGGACACTCAACGTCAATCGAACATTAGAATAACGTCAACCCAATGTTGCAAATTTAGCGCACTATTAATTCAACATTGATTTGACCTTTGCTGTCAATAGCCAAGAACAAGTAAGTAACCTTAAACAGTCAATTTTTAGTTTTTCTAACCTTGGTAAATTTAGAATAAAACATTTTATACTTAAACTAATATTGTCGCACCTAAACCCTTGTTTATAATTGATGTTATTGTATTACCACCAACCTGTTTCAGTTGAACGATTTAAAAATATATATATATATATATAATAAAGCTGAACTTGCCACGTTATGCAGAAAGCTACTAACACATATTCAGCAGATATTCATTCTGACTACTTCGAAACTCTGCATTTGAAATAAAATCTTAAAAGAAGTTTTTGATTTAAAATTTTATTAATAATCTTATTTAAAATAAGACCTAATTAAAATAAATTAAAATGAAAATCATAAAAAATTACCATAATAAAAGCCATAAACATGAAAACAAACTTTTATATTAATATATATATATATATATATATATATATATATATATATATATATATATATATATATATATATATATATATATATATATATATATATATATATATATATACATATATAGATATATGTATATATATATATATATATATATATATATATATATATATACATATATATATATATATATATATATATATATAATATATATATATATACATATATATATATATATACATATATATATATATATATATATATATATACATATATATATATATATATATATATATATATATATATATATATATATATATATATATATATATATATATATTATATATATATATATATATATATATATATA